TATCTTGGGTTTAAATTCCTCATTGCTTTCTGGATTCTTAAGGTGAAAATCTAAATCACTAATTTTAAACCTTTCTTCTTTTATCACATAAGCATCTAAAGCTATAGTTATTCCTCTAAGCACTGCTTTAGCTGTATCTCATACAATTCAATATGTTAGATTTACGTTAATGTTCAATATGAAATGTTTTCTAATTCCCTTGTGGTTTCTTCTTGGACTCATTGGTTGCTTAGAAGTATATCCCACTGAGTCCAAACACTTGAGGGACTTCTCGCTTTTTAAAACTGATTTAAGATTAATTGTTTTGTGGTTAGAGAACATACTTTGTACGATTTAAATCCTTTGAAAGTTATTGATATTTGTTTTCTCCATTTATTTTTTGTTCCATTTTTGCTCTTTCTTGCTCTTTGAAAGTTAATATTTTTCATATCCCATTTTATCTCCTCTATTCGCTTTTTAGCTTAATTACTGTTTTAATTTCCTATTGCTGATATAGCAAATTACAATAGATGTAGTGGCTTAAAACAATGTAAACTTATTATTTTATAGTTTTAGAAGTCAAAAGTCTAAAATTAAGATAGCTACATTTCTTCTGTAGACTTGAGGGGAGAACCCACATTCTTGCATTTTCCAGCTTTTCGAGGCTGCCCATATTCTGTGGATCGTTGCTCCTTTCCATCTACACAACCAGCTATTATGTCACTCTGACCTCTGCTTCCATTACCACATCTCATTTTCTGGCCCTCTTTCACTTATAAGGACCTTTGGGATTGCATTAGGTCCACCTGGATAAAACGCGATAATTTCCTGATCTCCACATCTTTAATTTAATCATTATCTGCTAAGTCACCTTTTCCACGAGAGGTTACGTATTCACAGGTTCTGGGGATTAGGGTCTGTACATCTTTTGGGGGCTGTTATTTCACCTATCACAATGACTTTGTCCTATCTATTAGTATTTGCTGAAGGGATTATAATACACATCTTTTATTTATCGTAGTCTAGCTTGCATTAATATTTAATCACTTTATGTGTCATTATGTGTTACGTAAGAACTTAACAAGCATATAGTTTTATACCCTCCAATCCTTTGTGATACTGTTGTGACACATTTTACTTTTATGTGCGGTATGCCTCCCAGATACTTTGTTATTATTTTTTCTTTAAACAGGAAATTTTCATTTAAAGGAATTAAGAAACAATAAAGAGTCTTTTATATTTAACCATATATTTACAATTTCTGGTGTTCTTCCTTCCATCAGGTAAACCTGTTTCTGTTTTATACAATTTTCCTGTAGCCTGAAGAAATTCCTTTAATCCCATTATGAAGGTCTCCTGTTAACTAATTCTTTCAGGTTTTGTTTAGCTCATAAGGTCTTTATTTCACTTTCATTTTTTTTTTTTTTTAACGTTTTATTTTTATTTTTGAGACAGAGAGAGACAGAGCATGAACGGGGGAGGGGCAGAGAGAGAGGGAGACACAGAATCGGAAGCAGGCTGCAGGCTCTGAGCCATCAGCCCAGAGCCCGATGCGGGGCTCGAACCCACGGACCGCGAGATCGTGACCTGGCTGAAGTCGGCCGCTTAACCGACTGAGCCACCCAGGCGCCCCTCACTTTCATTTTTGAAGAACATTTATGCTGAATGTAGAATTCTAGTTTAATAACTTTTTTCCCTTTACCACTTTAAAGATGCCATCGTATTGTCTTCCTGCTTTGCATGTCTGATGAGACTGCATTCATTCTTTTTGGTGTTCTTTTGTATAGAAGGTGTCTTTTTTTTTTTTTTTTTCTTTTTCGTTTGTCTGCATTTGTGATTTTCTCTTCCTTTTGGTTTTCAGCAGTTTGAATATTATGTATCTTTGTGTGGAATTTTTGTGCGGGTTATTGGGTTTCAGTGATTATTTTTGGTTCTGTACATTTGAAATTTGGAAAAAAATGGAAAAATTCTGCCATATTTTCTTAATTTTTTGTATCTCAATTTTTCCTTCATTGTTTTAAGTTCCAATTACCTATATGTTAGATTTTTTGATATAATTCCACATACTATAAGGGTCTGTTCATTTTTATTTAGTCTATTTTCTCTCTGTGCTTCAGTTTCCTTGGTTCCATATTTGTCTTCAAGTTCACCAATATATTCTGCAATGTCAAATCTACTTTTAATTCCATGCAATGAATATTTGACTTCAGATATTTTATTTTTTAGTTCTGGAAATTCCATTTAATTGTTTCAAATATTTTCCCTTTCTCAGTTTAGATCCCCTATCCACGGAGTCATTTGTTCATATTTTAAATATCTCAACATATTTACAAACCTGTTTTACAATTTTTATCTGATAATTCTAACAGCTATGTCATCTCTGAGACTGTTTATATCAATGTTTTTTTCCACCGAGGATTATGAATCACATTTTCTTGCATTTCCATATATCGAGTGCTTTTTGATTATCTGCTAGGCATTGTATATGCTAACCTATCGATAGTGTGGATTATGTCCTTTACTTGTAAGGAATATTAGCTTTTGTTCTGCCAAGCAGTGAGTTAAGAGGCTTAGTTTAATACAGAGCAGAAGCGCTCTTAAAGTGTGAACTTTCTTAAGTGAATGCCCAGGGCGTCCATCTTGGGATGGCCACTTTGCTCGGTCAATGTCCCATGTCATACCGTGATAAAACCTCCAGAATCTTGGTTGGACCTCCCCATGTGCTAGGCTTTCTGAAGTCTTTCAGTGAGCACGCACTGCATCGTTTTGTTTGAAGACTCACAGTGACCCCATGCAGATTGCTGGGAATCCTTCACTTTTCGCCTTCTCCCGACCTGCAAATTCTGGCTGCCGCAGTAACCCCAAGCAGGTATCTGTTTCCTTGTTCCAGTGAGACCACCGATCTCTGTTTTGGTTTTACTTTCATGTGCTGCACTTTGTCAGGTGCTTCCAGGCAGAAAACTGGGGTAGATGTGAAGTTGATCTCTTGTATTTCCCTTTTGTCATGGATCACAGCCTTGTGATTTGTAGTGCCAATGTTTGAGATTATTTGCTTCGTACAATTTGTGAAGTTTAGTGGCTGTTTACAGTGGCTGAGTAAGTCTGATACTCCTTCCTCTATCACGGCCCAAACTGGAAGTCTATCATCAAAAGCTATTTGAGTTTAATTCCAATTATGAAAACCTGCTAGTTCCCTTCTTGGTGGCTAAACCACCACAAGGTGCAGAGTTGACTAAACAGTAGGCCGGCTATGTTGTGTGTCATGTATCTATAGACAGATCTTATTTCATATGTGATTTAGTGATGGGCCTAATAGTGTAATCTCAAAGTATTGTTGAGTATAAATATTAAGACATCTGCAATAACTGTGATGGGATTCTTATTGATGATAAGATCACAGGCGTTGCTAATATTACTTGATTTATAATTTCTATTTGGCCTAGTTTCAGGTTCATTGATCTTTTCTTCTTCAGTGTCCAATTTGCTATTAAGGCTGTCCAGTGAATTTTTAATTTCAGATATTGTATTTTTCAGTTTTAGAAATTCCAATTCTTTTTTTCCCCCACTCTCTGTTTTTATTAAGGTTCCCTATCTTCTAATGCTACTGTGGTTTGCCGTCTACATTGATGGTTAAAGGAAGTGCAAAATTTCAGTAAGGGTACGTAGATGTATTTTTTTTTTTCCTATCCAAATTCATGGGTCGCCTGGGATCTAAAATATTAGTAATGGTTACCTCTGGGTGAGGATTATGGGAGATTGTTTTTTTCTTCTTTGTTATTTTCTGTTTTTCTCTCCTAACATTTCTTCAATGAGCACGTATTACTTTGTAATTATAAAGAACAAATGTAGCTGAAAATCTATGAACACTTAAGTGGCATGTAATATTCTTTTTATTTTTTATTTATTTATTTATTTTTAAAAAATTTTTTTTCAACGTTTTTTATTTATTTTTGGGACAGAGAGAGACAGAGCATGAACGGGGGAGGGGCAGAGAGAGAGGGAGACACAGAATCGGAAACAGGCTCCAGGCTCCGAGCCATCAGCCCAGAGCCTGACGCGGGGCTCGAACTCACGGACCGCGAGATCGTGACCTGGCTGAAGTCGGACGCTTAACCAACTGCGCCACCCAGGCACCCCTGTAATATTCTTTTTAATAATGCTAATGTGAATTGAAAATATACTGTATAATTTTTTCATTATTATATTCTATTTAAGGTGAAATGATTAAACAGACATGTCAAAATGACGGTGATTTTTCTTAAGGATGGAAAACATAGAAAAAAGCAATATGATTAAGATCATATTGATATCTTTTGTAACTGTTTTTTCAATTTTAACGTATTTCATATCCTCTAATAAATTCATTTCATATATAGAAAAACCATTACTTTAAAAATGATAAGTTATATGACTAGTATAACTGCAAATACTATGTGATATATATGTGCATCTTTAGTCTATTACATTTTATTTTTCAGTGTTGGAATTCATAATAATTGTGTCTTGTCATTGAGAGGAGATAGTTACTTGATTATTCATTACAGTTAACCACAAGTATCTAACCAGATTATTTAAAGGTATGAGTTATGTCGTGGGAGTAGGTTAAACTCTTGAGAAGTGAGTATTTTTTCCTTCAGGATATGTATTAAATCACTATTATGTGAACTGAGGTCATAAGCCAGTACTGATTAACTTCCAAATAATCATTTTAAGCAATCATTACTTAATATAAAATGATGCCACTTTCCTTTAGCTGTGTGTCTAATCCTGCTAGGCTTGGGCAGTGGTGTAGACAGAATAGATGCTGAAGGAAGCAGCGTTTCTAGATAAATAGTGAACTCTATTTAAAAGGTGACCTATTTACAGATTTAAAAACACGAGACAGGTGAATGTTAAGTGAGCCATCCCATGGGACTTTAATAAAAGCACAAAGTCTTTTCTCTGAAGGTGAGCCCTCTTACAACTTGGGGTCTGGGGCAGTCTGTGGGATTCCAGCATGTTCCTCAAACACTGCCCTTCATGGGGGAAAAGGTGACCGAACTCTGGATTTTGTCTGCCTCTCCAGTGCTTCACTGCCGTGTTCTGGGTGCCATTATTAACATTACTCAGTTGTACATGGCTAAGTGATCCAGCCCGGGACCATTAGTGCATTTCCCTTAACGCGTCTGGCATACAAATTCATTTCTAGGGGTATGGAAACAGCCCTCCATCTTGAGCCCGAGCCCCATGATTTGTAGTACATTCTGTATTAATTGCTCACTATTCTGGGAACTTCACATATCAATTTGACTCTGTCATATAGTGTGACCATTCACCGCAAATGTGTTTGATATATATCCTTGCAGCAGCAACTGCTGAAATGAACAGATATTCCTTTTTATCATAAAATGAGTTATATCCTAGGCCCTCAGGCTTGAAAGGGGGGGGGTGTGGAGCCACCTACATAAATAATAAGGGAAAGAGAGACCTTCATTTATAAGTTTAGGTGAAACATCTGGCAAGTGGGCGATATTTAGATTGTAGGAAACATAGATGCTTGGCATCTTCCACGGTGGAGACGGTCAGGTCCTCCAGAAACACAGTCGGCTCACAAAATGTGGTCGGGAAGCGTGCTCTCTGCTTGTCTCAGGAGAGGCCCCAGGACAGTGAGGGTGGCTGGGAGATTCCTGGGGCCTCGCATCACTTTTACATCAAAATGAAGAGCAGTGAGAACAGGTTCCATCACTATTTTCCTCTCCAAGGCACTCCAGTTGCAAGAACTTTCTGGAATTTCTGTCAGGGCACAAATTCCCAGAATTGCATTTGGGCCCCTCACCTGTATTTCCTCTCTCTCCGCTGACCTCAGAACGCAGGTACCTCTTTATTCTGGGTCCTCCACAAAAGAGGATACGCCGTCTACTACTCTTAATTATTCAGACTCCCCTTTCTTGAGTATATAAAGCTGTTGGCAGGGGCACTTGGGTGGCTCAGTCGGATGAGCATCAGACTCAATTTTGGCTCAGGTCGTGATCCCCACATCAGGCTCTGTGCTGAGTGTGGAGTCTGCTTAAGATTCTCTCTCTCTCTCTCTCTCTCTCTCTCTCTCTCTCTCTTTTTCCCCCCCCCCCCCCCCGCTTGTGCTCACACACTCTCTCTTTTAAAAAAATAATAAATAAAAGCTGTTGTCTTGCTAATAACTACAGGGAGAGAGATAGGTATAGTATAAAATGACAAATCAGAGAGCTCATAAGAAATCTAAAAAAAAGTGGAGTAATGGTCCCCCCTTCTCTCCTGGTCTACACAGAAATAAAAAGTGAGGCAGGATATCTCTTAGGGCTTGCCTATTTCTTTGTGCGTTCCTTCCAAGTTATTTCCGTCCACACCCCTCCCTTCTATTCTTTAGGATGAGGTGAATCCTGATTTTGCCCAACCGCACAGAACACAGCTTGCCGAACCACCAAATTATAGGAAATAACCGAAGCTCTGGGCAAAAATATGGATCGAAAGGCCCCACTCATGAGGTAAAACGTCAGCCTCTTCAGAGGAGAGGGTCTGCTTGTCTGTGTTTTAAATAATTGCTCAGGTAATTTATATTATCAGACAAACTTGGGAAACATAGTAGAGACTGGCTTTTAGCACCAAGTAAAAGTCCCTCTCCACTTTTCTATCCACTGCTGGACTTCACACGGAGTGGGGGAAAGGTAAGGCTGCACAAGCTGGTGTGCAGGGCACCTGGGTGGCTCAGTCGGTTAAGCGTCCGACTTCGGCTCGGGTCATGATCTCGTGGTCCGTGAGTTCGAGCCCCGCGTCGGGCTCTGTGCTGACAGCTCAGAGCCCGGATCCTGTTTCGGATTCTGTGTCTCCCTTTCTCTCTGCTCCTCCCCCACTCATGCTCTGTCACTCTCTCTCAAAAAGAAAATAAACATTAAAAAAAAAAAAAAAAAAAAAAGGAAGAGTATGCCTGGTGTGATCTCCTCTCGTATGTGTGGAAATTCACGGAAACGTCCGTGAGAACACAGCCCCCTGTTACTGGGGTGCGGAATGGGTTTGGGTTGTGGTCTATGTAGTTCAGTCTTTGATGGTCTTCTACCCATACGTTGCAATACACAATAAATATTGTCCCTATTTTTAGAACTAATAAGAGTTTTTAAAAAAGACAGTCACCTTTCTCAGCAACAGCCTGTTAAGCTTTCTCCACCTTCAGGAGGCCAGCACAGCCATTTGCGACTGATCACAGACAGCAGCTGAGGCCACCCCTCTGTGAACTGAATTTGACTGACGCTTTCATTCCTGTGTCTGGTTCCTTTTTGGCCACGATTAGATTTTCCGAGCCTCTTTTTTTCCTGTGGCCTTTTCAGGGAGCTCTGCAGAGGCCCCTGCTTCTCAGGAGAGCCATTCAGGAAGCCCGGAGATGGGCCGGAGCAGGGCTGCATGCAAAAAACAACAACAACAACAACAACAACAACAACAACAAAACCCAAACGCCAAACTGCATAAGAAAACAATCTTCCTGCCATCCAGCAAGTAGCGCAAAGTGCTCTTTTAATTGTAGCCGTTGCTATAATTTAAACGGAAAGTATTTTACATCCATTTTTCTCAAACTGCTCTAATCATAGTAGTTTTCGTTTTGCCTTAATGTAGCAAATACATCCGACTACTTAATTTTGCTCCTTTATAAGATCGCACTTTACAATTAAGCGTCGCAGGCTGCTCTTGTGTGTTTCCAGAGTAGAAATAGACCGAGACATCTCCCTTAGTTATGCTATGACTTTAAAAAATTAAACTGTACTTCCAAATGACTTACTTCATTCAACTCCAAATGAAATAATGGCTTTAGATGTCTCTTGTATTTTAAATTTAGATAATTAAATTCAACACAAATCACATTGGGTATATAATAGTCAAATATCATTTTAAGAGATTATTATTTGAATGGATCATTTTCTCAGGGGCTACTATTTGTAGCTAAGTGAATAACACTGGATTCTGCCTATGCTTATTAATGCCTGGATATCTTTTCTTGTTTTCAATCCTACAGATAAAAATCTTTTTCCAAAGACAGATATATAGGGAGAGACAAAAATTCCCACGGGGATATTGTACTTTTTTTTTTTTTCTCCTAGGATAGATAAATTTCTCCCTACACTTATCTTGAAATATTAGCTTACCCATTGTCCAGAGAGTGGCACTAGACTGAATGATTTTAAGTGCACTTTGAGACTATAATTTTTCCTGTAAACATTGTGTTTCAGGTTAATCAGCATCATGGGTGGTTCCTCAAATGATCGCAGATCCCGTGCGCCGTGAGGGGGGCGGGGGGGCCGGGGCGGAAGTAAGCAATCACGTTGGACGGGAGTCTGAACTTGATAATGTTAACCTCTCAAACTTGATGCAGTCCTCTTCCGATTATTCTCTTGCCAAATCTGGACCAAGAGCCTGAAGAAGTGTAGCAAACCTGCCACAGAACAGAAGACTTGCCTACAGGTGTCGGTCACGGTCGGCCATGTCGTCTTGTAACTCTTGTGATAACCTTACGCTGCTTGACGGGACTAGTTTACCTGTCTGTTCTCACTCTTTTCATTTTAATTAAAATTTATGAAATGCACGAAGAGTATAATTAAGAGAAGTTAGCACCATTGGGCACAGATGTCAGCCTCAGGCCAAAGAAAGGGCTCATACCTGAAGGTAGAAGGTCTACACTTCATCATTTTTCTGTGCTCATTGCAATCTGGGGAAGGCGCCGAACATTTCAGGGCTATGTTCTCATCTGCAAAGTGGAGATATGCTGGTGTGGCCCATCTCTACCTGCACATCGAGCTAGATCACTTTTCCAACTGCGGTTCCCCCTCATTGTGTCCTACCATGAATTGTTTAAACATATGAAACAAGTCTAAAAGCGTCTTTAAATATCTATCGAATGCAAAGCATTGCCTTTAAGAGATTTGACATGGATCTTGGCCACCTTAAAAAAGATAGGATTTCAAGGTAGGATTCTGACATGAAGAGGGGAGAGGCAGTTATTTTTGGAAATCCTAAAAATTAAGACTTATCTTTCCTGAAGAGAGAAAAATAGCTCTTAAATTTATGTTGACATGGATATTAAAAAAAAAAAAAAATTCCTCCTTTGGTTCTGCAGGCAGGCCTCAGATGGACTAGGGCTGATAGGCAGTTTGTGGCAAAGGCTTTCATCTGTAGCTTGGCTTAACTTTTTCTGAATTACATTAAAAAAAAAGTCACTAAGCAGGTAACAAATTTCCTTAACTGGTTGGATGCAGCTTTTGCCTGTATTTAGGGTGTGCGATGCCTATTTTTAAAAAGCAGGACATAAATAAAAGATATAAATAAAATATCATTTCACTAACGTTTTTCTTTTTTTTTTTTTCCTCCAGCTTTTTCCAAGGGTGTTGAAATCTGCTGAGATTTATTTTGATGAAGGTAAGTCGCTTCTCGTTATCAGGCAGTAAAGATGTTCTGTTATTGTTTACTGTTTCAGCAGCTCTGAAAGGTGCCATCTGAACACTTGTGGTTATAATAGGCAGAAACAATGAAAAGCCATTTTTTTGTTGGTTATGTCCAAAGCTTTGATTTACCTCTTCAGAAGGTGAGAGATTTATTACTGACACCTAAGGTGGTTTTGAAAGATAACAGGTCACGGAGCCTCGTGAGAGACTTTCGAGGTTTGATCTTGGGAACAATGGTTAGTAGATGGAGGACGGTTTTCAGAGATGTAGATCATGGTCACGGACACTGTGAGGCTTGTGTGGACCAGGCGACCGCTAGGTATAGTAATCCAGGTCAACCAGAGAAGGTGTAAAGTCATCACCTTGAGTTGCTTCTCGGAAAATGCCACGTGTTAAAGGGAGCACGTGTGTCTCAAGGGCAGTAATGAGGCCTGATCGTGTCCGTATATAACAGACAACCCTAGACTGGGAAACAAGAGGACCTACCTGGGTCTGATGCTGGCCATGTATGTGATCTTGAGCAAGTTGTCTGCATTTTCTGGAACCCAACCCGGACTAGATCGATGACCAGGGAGCTCAAATCCCCCGAATGAATTTATTTTATTTAAATATGCATTTGTTGAATATCTAGATGTTAGGCATCTAAATGTGAATAAAGCTCGGTTCCGGTGGCGGTGTTGAGCTAGATACAAAGGTGAATATGGACAGTGCAGTGTAGTGAGAGACATATTGGAGAATGGATATGGAATGACAGACACACAAATTTGGAAGCCATTTCTTTAGGGGTAAAAGGACTATTCAGGGGAAGTGAGGTTGCTTCTGGACTTCCTACGTGATGGTTCAGAGAAAAAAGGCTAACAGGGAAACAAGTGTTTCCCATAAAGGGCCAGGCAGTAAATGTTTTTGGCTTTGCGGGCCACTTGGTTTCTGTGACAACCACTCTACTCCGACGTGGCACACAGGCAGCAATGGTAAGTGAACATACGTGACCGTGTTCGGATAAAACTTTATTTGTGGAAACAGGCCAGCTTTGGCTGGCTTGCAGTCTTTAGTTTGATGACTCCTGCTACACAAAGATGATTTGCAAAGATGAACTTCATCAAACACCCTGGTTAACTCATTGTGGCGCTTTTTCCCATCTTTGGGATTTTTACGAACGTGACTTCACAGACTTGTATATGGGGGTGTATGTCTAAACCTGGGCACGTGCATCAGGAAACTGCTCATATCCTTGCAGCGCTTACAATTTCTAGGCGTGGGAGCCCCGCTTCCCTCTCCCACACTTGCAGCTCATTGTCTGCCAGAGCTATGGGCCATGCATGGGGAGCGGGGCAGGCGTGACTCTCCCCTCCCCTAGGTTCTCAGTCAGTGACTGACTAGATGTGGCGGAGGAGTGTCTGGGCTCCTCCCCCCTGGGGGGGGGTTCCCTCTCAGCATGGGCTCCATGGACTGTGTCTGAGCTCCCCAGTGGGATTAAATCCAATGGCTCGCTGTTGTACCTTGCTTCACAACACACTCTTATTGGCTTATTTCCTCCCCTGTGTCCCGTACCTCCTTCGCCTATACGTCCACGCTTATCTCCTAAAGCACCACCTTGTACTCAAACCCATACATTAACATTCGTTTCTGGAGGAATGCAAACCAAGACGGTATTTGGGACATGAAGGACATAAACTCACCTCCATGTGATGACTTAGAAACTCCTCATTAAGCGAGGCTGTGGGAAAATAACAACAACAACAACGACGACGACAACAACAACAAAATGGTTCATGAGTTCAAGCCCTGTGTTGGGCTCCGTGCTGATCGCTCAGAGCCTGGAGCCTGCTTTGGATTCCGTGACTCCCTCTCTCTGTGCCCCTCTCCTGCTCATTCTCTGTCTCTCAAAAAATAAATAAATGTTAAAAAAAATTTTTTTTAAGAGATGGTGTGGAAAGCCCTTCTCCAAGTAGGGTCGCAGTGCCATTATTGAAGATTTTATTTGGATGCAGAGACCCAATATTTTTCTTAACGATTGACAGATTTCCTACTTATTGGTTAGGGTCAGTAGCAGAGGCCGTTGATCTCCCTCTTGATGACCCCCACCCCTGCCCGTGGCTGATGATAGTACCCCCCCCCGCCCCCCCCCTCTCAGGCACCTACATTCATCTCTTTTCCTCCTACTTTAGGGCCGGGCACAGGTGCATCCTGGATATGTTGAGTGATCAGGGTTGGAGGAGGTTTGGAGAGATGGGGCTTACTGGGATGGCTTGGGAGGAGGTGAGGCCGGACCCACTGCAGAGGAGGGGTGTGGCCGTGATGGGCCCCGAATGACTGGCTGAAGAACTTGGATTTCATCTTGCACCTAAGTTGAGCTACTGGCCATCTTTGAGGACAGTGGCAAGAGAGCTCAGTAACATTCAATAAGTACTTGTTGATGACCGACATACGCTACAAATAGTGAACAGGTGCAGCAGCGAGGCCAGGGAGAGGCTGAAGCGTCACCTTAAAAGTCACTTTATGAAACCCCTCCTGATCCTGCAGGTAGACGGCACCCCTCCGCATCCCACTGTTCCTTCTAATATGGCACCTCCCTCACTTTGGTGCATTTATGAAATACCACCCGTCTCCACGCCTACAGCCTGCCTCATCCACTTCCGCATTGAGCTTTGTGCTACAGTTAGCCATAATTAATGGGCTTCCCCAACTTTTTTTTTTTTTCCTTTATGTGTCACTAGGTTAATAAAAGCATTGAGCTCAGCCTCTAGGGAGAGAGAAGTCATAATCAGTCAACACGCTTCCTGAGAGGGGTAGTCTTCTTGCCCAAAGATCATCGATCATCTTTACCCTAATGCCCGAGACCTCAGGGCTCTTTAAGTGGAGCTTAGTTAGTGAGCTCTTTCTCCCTCCGCCAGATAAACGCCCAGGAAACTCTTAGACCCCTGGTTTATGGATCTGCAACCTTTCTGAGTAAGGGGAACTCCATTAAGTATTCATTGTGAAGATTTTCAAACATACACCAATGTCTTAATAATGAGAACAGTAATAATGAATCTTCATATGCCCTTGACTCAGATTCAGTTGTCCAGAGTTTCCCTTTCTTGTTTCCTCCATTCACTTCTTTTCATTTTTGCTTAAGTGTTTTAAAATAAATCCCAGCCAGTTCTCATTTCACCCATACATACGTGAATATGCAGCTCTTAAAAACATGGCCATTTTCGGGGCGCCTGGATGGCTAGGTTGGTTGAAGGTCTGACTCCTGGTTTTGGCTCAGGTCACGATCTCACAGTTCCTTGAGTTTGAGGCCCACGTCGGGCTCGGCCCTGACAGTGCAGAGCCTGCTTGGGATTGTCTCTCTCTCCCTCTCTCTCTGCCCCTCCCACACACTCAGTCTCTCTCTCAAAATAAATGAACTTAAACAAAAAAGAAACAATGGCCATTTTCTCTCATGTTACTAACAAAATTAAAAAATTAACCATAATGGGTATCATCTAATGCCCAGTACTACACTTGTTTCCCTAATTTTTTTTTTTTTCCTTTTTTAAAGTTTGAATCGGGAGTTAAATGAAATCCCCATGTCACTTCCTTGTGTTTTCCTCAATTTCCCTTCTGTGAACTCAGCGTTCTCTGCGATGTGACCTTACTTCTGCTGGGGACATCTAGACTTGTGACAATCCTTCTGTGACAGTTTTTCCCCACCTCCTCTTTCTTTTTGCCCTTTCTTAGTAGCAGAAAATTAGGCTGAATGCAGATCGTTTGGGCGGGGTACTGAATTTGAACCTGTGTTTTTATGTTAGAATGCTGGTTCTCGTCTTTGAAGATTTGGCCGGAAGGTTAAAGCATCGTGAAAAATAAACCTACAGGTGTCAACCTGCAGTCTTTTTACCCCTTACAGCTTTGGCCTTATTACCTCAAGCAATAAGTCTGACCCTTTTTCCTCGGTGTATTGAAACTAAAGAGTAAGTAGTTGATCCCCACTGTTCTTCCCACAAGTTTTCAGCAGGGTGAGGCCAATTCACTGCTTGTTTTAGGCTTAAAACTGCTCCTGACATGTAGGGATGAAAGGTGGTGTGTAATTGAAGTCGCTGGGTATTGTGTGCCTAAGATGGGAGAGTGAGTTGAATTTCATGGGCTTTTCTGAAGCTTTCTCTCTTAACTAAAAATGTTGGCATTTTCTGCGAAGTCTGCTGTATGTTTATGGAGAAAGAGAGACTTCTCTTCAAGCACGGTGTGACATTTCTACAAAAATCAATGATTTAGAGGCAGGTAACCGAAATGAAATGTGCAACTTCACTTTCCATCTGTTGCAAAGCCTGCTGGGCTGGTTTTGAAATCTTCATATATGTTTGGTGTCCCTTCGGGGGGTAAAAATTATATTGACTCTGCACTTTGGAACATGTAACAAATATCTTTCGGAATGTGGCAAGAAATAGAACAGCCACCTAGTCCTATGTTTTCCAAAATGGATTTTGTAGTAATGTCTTAATTAAACAAACAAACAAACAAACAAACAGAAAAACACCCACTTTTAGGACTAGGGTTTGCTTTTTCCTTTTTCTTGAAAGATTATCATCTTTATTAAACCTGATGACCTAATCCAGTGGAGGGGACAGTCATGAATGTGGCTCAGCACTGCCTTATCCGTGTGTCAAGCCGAAACTTGTTCTTTGATTATTAGAGGTAGTGAAGCTTATAGGAGCATGATGATGTTTTAATTTGAATTTTGAAAATTAAAAAAGCCAGGCGTAACTATTGACACAATGAACAGGGAGAGCTCAAGCCGCCTTGAAATCCAGCCCCTCCCCCAGGATCCTCGAGAGAGGTTTTATATCTTCTTTAAAGTCCTTAAAATATAAAAGGATTAACTTCTAAAGTGACTGATAAAGCCAGAGAGAAAAATACGGAAGAGTATGGAAAGAGTCTAATGAAAACTCAGCACAGGGCTGGCACTTAATTCCATCTCACAATAATAAGAGAAAAAGCATAATGGAGAGT